AACAAAAATTAAAATTAAAATGAAAAGGAACCTTCTGGCCACGTCCACAATTGTTGCTCCTCAGGACACAGAGAACATTTTCTCCTTCCCTCCCTAATCAACATTTCCTTACTCAGAATTTTTAATTACAGCCCTGCAATGCCCCAGGACTTTCTCAGGGCTCTTATCTCCACAATCTCTGCATTTTGAAACAAAAAAAAAATCACATTTTTAAGCAGTGAAGGAATTTCCCCCACCCCGTTTCTCCCAGTTCAGGATCCCCAAAAATGCCCCAACAAAACCAGGAGATTTTCTCAGTGATGCTGATCCAGATTTTTTTCCTTATTTTCCAAGGAATAAAATTCCTGGAGGGAATTTGGCAGGGATTTTTTCCAAGGTGCTGCCATTGTGAGGCAGCAGGACAGCAATGTTGTGCTCTGGTGGCTGCTCCTTGTGCAATAATTGCATTGTCAGGGATTGATTGTTGCATTTTCCATTGCACAACCCGGGGTGAGGAGAGACACGAACGTGACAGAACAAGGTTCCCAAAGCTGGGAGGTTTTTAATGAGATTTTAGCTCATTAACTCTTCACCTGGCTCTGCTAAGACTCGTCATTCAATTTGAATTTTTTAAAATTAAAAATTAAAATTATTAAAAAAAATTAAAATTACAATTTTAAATTTAAATTTCTGAAATAATGTTTTTGGGGTTTTTTTAATTTAAACAAGGTTCCAGGTATGTTTTGTGAAATTTCCTTTTAATATTAAAGAGGGGTAGAACAGACTAATAACAGCTGGTTTAATAGGATTGGAATCTCTTAAATAATTGTAAAATTTAAGAGGAATAAACCACATGTCTCATCTTTTCTTTCCACTCTGGATTGCCAGGGGAAATTTAGGTGTGCAGAGCTCCAGGAAAGGAGGACATCCAGAAAATGCAGGAATTCAGCAAAAAAATCAATGCAGAGATTGCCAGAGGAAATGTTGGTGTGCAGAGCTCCAGGAGAGCAGGAGAACACCCAGAACATGCAGAGCTCAGCTCAAACAACAATTCAGAGATTCTCAAAGGAAATGTGGGAGTGCAGAGCTCCAGGAGAGGAGCAGAACACCCAGAACATGCAGAGCTCAGCTCAAACAACAATTCAGAGATTCTCAAAGGAAATGTGGGAGTGCAGAGCTCCAGGAGAGGAGCAGAACACCCAGAACATGCAGGAATTCAGCAAAAAAATCAATGCAGAGATTGTCAGAGGAAATGTTGGTGTGCAGAGTTCCAGGAGAGCAGGAGAACACCCAGAACACGCAGAGCTCGGCACAAACAGCAATTCAGAGATTCTCAAAGGAAATGTGGGAGTGCAGAGCTCCAGGAGAGGAGCAGAACACCCAGAACACGCAGAGCTCAGCACAAGCAGCGGTGCAGGGGCTGCCAGAGGAAATCTGGGGGTGCAGAACTCCCGGAGAACACCCAGAGCACCCAGGGCTCGGCATCCCTGCCCGGGCAGAGCACCCAGAGCACCCAGAGCACCCCGGGCTCGGCATCCCCATCAGGGCAGAGCACCCAGAGCACCCAGAACACCCAGAGCTCGGCATCCCTGCCCGGGCAGAACACCCAGAGCACCCAGGGCTTGGCATCCCTGCTAGGGCAGAGCACCCAGAACACCCAGAGCACCCAGGGCTCGGCATCCCCGGCAGGGCAGGAGCAGAGGGAGGTGGTGGGGAGCAGGCCCGGAGCTGTGCAGGGCAGGCCCTGCCTCCGGAGCCAGCAGGAATTCTGCGGCCAGAGGGGGGGACAGCAGGGAGGGGACAGAGGAGCACTGGGAGCACTGGGGAGCGCTGGGAGCACTGGGAGCATTTGGGAGCGCTGGAGCACTGGGAGCTGCCCGCAGGAGCTGCGCTGGACTGGCTGATCCAGTGGCCAGCTCTGCACACCAGCATTTCCTCTGGCAGTCCCTCAATTGCTATTTTTACTCTGGAAATCCCTGAACTGCTTTTTGTGCTGAATTCCTGCATTTTCTGGATGTTCTCCTCCTCTCCTGGAGCTCTGCACACCTGAGTTTCCTCTGGAAATCCCTCAATTCCTTTTTTCCTCTGGAAATCCCTCAATTCCTTTTTCCTCTGGGATTCCCTCAATTCCTCTTTTTTCTCTGGGAATCCCTGAATTGCCTTTTTTTCCCCTCTGGAACCCCTGAATTGACATTTTTCCCTCTGAATTGTTTATTGTGTGCAGCTTTGAGCCCTGGCTGGGGATTTCTCTGCAATCCCTCCCAGGGATCTGAACCTGCACACTGGGGATGTCCCAATGCTGCCAAACCTGCTCCAGGCTGCCTCAATACCCCTTAACCCCTGCTGGGCTCGTTTCTAATCCCAATTTTCCAAAGTAAAACTCCCTGGCACATGAGCAATGAGCACATGACTAATCTGTTAATCAGCAGCCATGGAAATATTCCTTAATTACCCCTCCTTAATGAGCAAGCTCCACGTCAGCCCTGCCCTGGGTGCAGAGGGTTAAAATCCAGCCCGGAAATTCAAATTAAAATGAAAATTAAAGTCCTGCTGGGATGAGCAAGCATTCATTTGTACTCACTCAGCTGTGTGAGGAGGGAACCTGCAGCTGCTCCTGGCATCCCTCTGGAATAATCCCGGGGTTTTTGGGGATTTTCTTCCTCTTCTGGGTCCTCTCCTCACGGATCTGTCACCCCCTGGAACCCCAAATCTGCGATCCTGGCTGGGGATGGGTTTTGCTCTGATTTCCAGTCAGACCCAGCAGGGTCTGGGGGAATTCTGAGGGTTGGGGAACACCAGAACCTCCCTGCTGGGAGGGCACGGGAGCCGCAGCCATCCTGGAGCTGCAAACAGCATCGCTCCCTCCTGACAAAGGCCAAAAATCCAAAAAAAACCTGGGAAAAAGGTGGAAATCACTCCCAGCTCCTGCAGCAGCCCCAAAATCAATTCCCAATCCAGGAATTCCAGCTGGAGCTGGAGCAGATGAGGAATCCCAAAAAGAAACCCTGGAAAAAGAGGTGGAAATCCCTCTCAGATCCTCGAGCAGCCCCAAAAAGGATTCCCAGGGCAGGAATTCCAGCTGGAACTGGAGCAGATGAGGAATCCCAAAAAATTCCTGGAAAAGAGGTGGAAATCCCTCTCAGTTCCTGGAACAGCCCCAAAATCGATTCTCAATCCAGGAATTCCAGCTGGAACTGGAGCAGGTGGCAGCTCCCAGATAGCAAAAATCCTAAAAAACTCCAGGAAAAAGAGCTGGAAATCCCTGCTGGCCCCTGGAGCAGCCCCAGAATCGATTCCCAAGGCTTGGCAGCAATGCCCAGGGCAGGAATTCCAGCTGGAACAGATGAGGAATCCAAAAAGTTCCTGAAAAAGAGAGGGAAATCCCTCCCAGCTCTTGGAGCAGCCCCAAAATGGATTCCCGGGGCAGGAATTCCAGCTGGAACTGGAGCAGGTGGCAGCTCCCAAAAATCCCAAAGAATTCCAGGAACGGGAGCTGGAAACCCCTGCTGGCCCCGGCGCAGGTGAGGAATCCCGAATATTCCCGGCCAAGAGGTGGGAATTGGAGAGGAGCAGGCGGCGGCAGGAGGAAGAGGAGCCGGGCAGGGAGGAGGGGATGGAGCAGGCGAGCGCTCATTAACAAATCCCAATTAAAACTCGCGATTGCCCAAGGCCCCGGCAGCTCCCTGCCCTGCCCTGCCCTGCCCTGGGTTTGTTTTGGGGTCCGTCCCGCTGCCGTTCCCCGCTTGCCCACCCTGGAGGGTTCCCCGCGGCGCTGGAGCGGGGAATGGCAAAGGGAGCTTTAAAAAAATGTATTTAAAAAAATGTTTTAAAAAATTGAAAAATATTTAAAAAAACAGGGAAAAAAAGCTTTTAAAAAAGGGAGGGAGGGAAGGAGAGGGAGATGGGAAAAGGAGAACACCAGAGACATTTGAAAAGCTTTTAAAAACTTTATTTATGTTTATTAACATTATTTTCATACATCAAACACCAGGTTTTGTTGTATCGTTTAAAATTTGCTATTAAAACCTGGTTTTAATTTATTTTTAATGCCCAAAACAAACCCTTAAACCCTTAAAATTCCCATTTATTTCCTATAAAGATAAACAGCATAAATAAAAAATTAACTTTTTTACATAAAACCCCCACTTTCTACATAAAAAATCCCTTTAATTCCTATAAACAAAAAATACATAAATAAACTTTTCTACACCCCTGGTGCTTCACCTGCCAGGCAGGCCTGATGACACGGGGTTAATCATTAATTAAAATGTTCATTAAATTGTTAATTGCTGTTTGTGCAGAGTTCTGGTGATGTCACCTGCCCTGGCATGGCTTTGTCACCTCCCCTTATTGCTCCACCCTTGTTAAAAATGAGATTTTTTGGGATATTCCTTGTTAAAAAGAGTTTTTTATGGAATATTCCTCATTTAAAAGGATTTTTATGGGATTTTCTTCATTTAAAAGGAGTTTTTAGGGGATATTCCACGTTAAAATGGAGGTTTTTTGGGCTAATTCTCCTTTAAAAAGAGATTTTTTTAAATAGTATATATATATATATCTCTACATATACTTTTGAATATACTTTTACATGTATATATTTATATTTATCATATATATATGTAAAATACATACTTTTACGCACACACATATATATGCAAAAATATATTTAAAATTATTTTAAGCTAAGGCCGTGCTTTTGGCAAATTGCGCAGGATATCGCCCCTTTTATTCTTCATTCAACATTTTTATATAAAATCTTTTAAAGTCTGAGCCCTATTTCTCTCAGTTGCCGTGCCCTGACCGCGATATTTTCTCTCTTTTTGTCACGACAGGGAGCGGGGCCGTGCCCTGACCGCGATGTTTTCCCGCTTTCGGTCACGCCAGGGATCGCGGGTGGGCCCGGCCCCCGCTCCCCTCACAGTTCCCCTCACGGTTCCCCTCACGTTCCCGCCCTGCGCGCGCGGCCCCGGAAGCGGAAGCCGCGCGAGCCCCGGAAGCGCCGCCGGCTCCTTCCCGGCAGCGCCGCCATCTTGGCTGCAGCCGTGAGGGAGCCGCGGCCGCCGCTGCCCGCCCCGCCCGCTCCGCCGCCATCGCGGCCCGGCCGCCGCTCCCCGCCTGCCTCCCTCCCTCGGCCGCGGGCAGGAGGGGCCGCCCGGGGCCTGGCGGCCGCGGAGAGGTGAGCGGGACGGGGAGGGACGGGCGGGCTGCCTTCCTGTCTCACTGTCTCTGCGTTCTCCTTCTCCCTCCGTTTTCCCCTCTCCTTCCCTCCCTTTTTCACCTTTCTCTTCTATTTCAGTCTCTCCTTTCCTCGGCTGCCTTCCTGTCTCACCTCTCACCCCTTCTCTGCCGTTCTCCTCTCTCCCACCTTTCCCCATCTCTCTTCTCCCCTCTTATTCCCTCCCTCTCTTTTCTACCTTTCCCCTTTCTTTTTCAGTCCCTCTGCTGCCTTCTTGTCTCACCCCTCTCTGCCGTTCTCCTTTCCCCATCTCCCTCTGTTTCTCCTTCCTCTCTCCTTTTTCCCTCTCCTGTTTCTCCCTCTCCTTCCCTCCCTCCTTTTCCACCTTTCCCCTCTCAGTCCTTCCTTTCCTCTTTCCCTTCTTCCCTCCCTCTCTGATTCCTCTTTCCCCTCTCTCCCTTTCATTCCCTTCCTTCCTTTTCCCTCCTTCTCCTTTTCCTTTCAGTCCCTCTCTCTTTACCTCTTCCTTTTCCCCCCTTCTCTTTTTTCCTTATTTTTCTCCTTTTCTCCCTTTCACTCCCTCCCTTCCTCTTTTCCTTTTTCCCTCCCTCCCTCTCCTGTTTTCTCTTTTCCTCCTCTCCCTTTTATTCCCCATTTTTCTCCCCTTTGTCCCTCCTTTTTACCCTCTTTTCCCCCTCTTTTCTTCCCTTTTTCTTCCCCCTTTTTCCATGGTTCTCGCTCCTTAAAAATTCAAATAATAGAATATAAATCCATATCATTGAATTTACATCTCAAATACAACCATAAAGTGGATTTTATGAAGACCTGGAGAAAGGTTCTATGAAGCTCTGTGCTTACTGAGGTTGCATTAATGAATTTTAATGAATGGATTTCATTGTAATTAACGAATTAACTGTTTTTTATTTAGATGAGCAGCAGCAGCAATAAGAGGGCCCCCACCACAGCCACGCAGAGGCTGAAGCAGGATTACCTGAGGATCAAAAAGGATCCAGTGCCTTACATCTGTGCTGAGCCCCTGCCCTCCAACATCCTGGAATGGTGGGGATGGGGTTGGAAAGGAGAGATGGGGAATGGGAATGGGGGAATGGGAATTGGGAAATGGGAGTGGGGATTGAGAATGGGGGAATGGGAATTGGAATGGGGAATGAGAGTGGGAAATGGGAATTGGAGGGGGAGAGTTGGAAATGGGGAATTAGGGATGGAAAACTGGGGTGGGAGCTGGGGTGGGAGTTGGGGTGCATTGTCCCTCACCCCCGAGCAGCAGCAGAAGGTTTCCCACGCTCTCAGCTCTTTCTCCCTCCCTCTGGGGTCTGGGCAGGTGCAGAGGGAGGCTGTACCTGAGGCTGCTCCTGATTTTTGGGGTATTTGTGGTTTTTCCCAGTGTTCCATTCCCTCTTTTCCAGGCACTACGTGGTGCGAGGGCCTGAGCTGACCCCATATGAAGGTAAATCCCTGCCTGGGCGTTTGCAGGAAATTCAGGAATTCCAGGGGGTGGGGAAAGGCAAAATAACCCCACTAAAAACGGCTCCAAAAACTGGGAAAGAGGTGAAGAAATAGGGAATGCTGCTGTCAGTCATTCTTCTCTTATCAAGAGTAGGATTTATTTAATATCATTTTATATGTATTTATTAAATACAAATTATTTCACCCATTTGGGTGCTTTAGAAGAAAGAATAAAGCAGGGGAATTGAGAATGGGAGATTTTTATTAAATATGACTCATTTAACCCATTTTTTGCTGGTTTGCAGGTGGATATTACCACGGAAAATTAATATTCCCTCGAGAATTCCCTTTCAAACCCCCCAGTATTTATATGATCACCCCCAATGGAAGGTTCAAGTGCAACACAAGGTAAGGGCTCCTTCCCAATATTGCAGCCGTTCCCATCCCAAACCCAGGCCCCGTTCCCATCCCAGCCGTTCCCATCCCAGCCATTCCCATCCCAAGCCCAGGCCCCGTTCCCATCCCAGCCGTTCCCATCCCAGCCATTCCCATCCCAGCCATTCCCATCCCAAACCCAGGCCCTGTTCCCATTCCAGCCATTCCCATCCCATCCCAGCCGTTCCCATCCCAAACCCAGGCCCCGTTCCCATCCCAAACCCAGGCCCCGTTCCCATCCCAAGCCCAGGCCCCGTTCCCGGCCCAGCCGTTCCCAGCCCCATTCCCGGTTCCCGGCTCTGTTTGTCCCTGGCCAGGCTCTGTCTGTCCATCACGGATTTCCACCCGGACACCTGGAACCCGGCCTGGTCCGTGTCCACCATCCTGACGGGGCTGCTCAGCTTCATGGTGGAGAAGGGGCCCACCCTGGGCAGCATCGAGACCTCCGAGTTCACCGTGAGTCCCTTGGGCACAGTGCCACAGAATTTGGGATTGCTCAAGGGTAAAGCCTGCCTGGGATTTGGTTCCCTTTTCCAGCCTTTTTCCTTGACCCTGTTCAATTTTAGTCAATAATCTTCACAAATGCGATGTTTTAAATGTTAAAACCCACTTGGTGTGAGGTTTGCACTGTTCTGGTGGGAAATCAGGGGTGGAATTGAAATAAATGGATTGGGTTTTCAAGGAGTTGCTGATAAATTTGGTTTTTCTCCGCAGAAAAGGCAGCTGGCTGCACAGAGCTTAGCATTTAATTTAAAAGACAAAGTCTTCTGTGAGCTCTTCCCTGAAGTGGTGGAGGTGAGGAAATCTTCATTCATTATTCATTTTTCAGCTCCAGACCTCCCTTGCTGCCCCTCTCCAAATTCCACTTTCCCATGCAGGAAATCCAGCAAAAGCCCCCAAATCCCCACAAATTCCACTTTCCCACTGAATTTCCTCTCCCCTTTTGCAGGCAATGAAGCAAAAGCAAAAACCACAAGATGAGCTGAGCTCCAGACCTCCCCCTCTGCCCCTCCTCAGTTTCCCCTTTCCCATGCAGGAGATCAACCAAAATCCCCACAAATTCCACTTTCCCACTCAATTTCCTCTCCCCTTTTCCAGGAAATCCAGCAAGAGCACCCAAATCACCCCAGTTTGCTCTCCCCTTTTGCAGGAACTGAAACAAAAGCAGAGAGCACAGGGCAAGCTGAGCTCCAGGCCTCCCTCCCTGCCCCTCCCCAAATCCCACTCTCCCATTTAATTTTCTTTTTCCCTGTGCAGAAAATCAAACAAAAGCGCCCAAATTGCCCCAGTTTCCTCCTCCCCTTTCCCAAGCACTCAAACCCACCAAGATCCCCCCAGATTCCCCTTTCCCACTGGATTTGCTGTCCCCCTGCAGGAGATGAGGCAGAAGCAGAAGGCCCAGGAGGAGCTGAGCTCCAGGCCCCTCTCTGCCCCTCCTCAGATTCCCCTTTCCCACTGGATTTGCTGTCCCCCTGCAGGAAATGAGGCAGAAGGCCCAGGAGGAGCTGAGCTCCAGGGCCCCTCTCTGCCCCTCCTCAGTTTCCCCTTTTCCAAGGACTCAGACCCACCAAGATCCCCCAGATTCCCCTTTCCCACTGGATTTGCTGTCCCCCTGCAGGAGATGAAGCAGAAGCAGAGGGCCCAGGAGGAGCTGAGCTCCCGGCCCCTCTCTGCCCCTCCTCAGTTTCCCCTTTTCCAAGGACTCAGACCCACCAAGATCCCCCAGATTCCCCTTTCCCACTGGATTTGCTGTCCCCCTGCAGGAGATGAAGCAGAAGCAGAGGGCCCAGGAGGAGCTGAGCTCCAGGGCCCCTCTCTGCCCCTCCTCAGTTTCCCCTTTTCCAAGGACTCAGACCCACCAAGATCCCCCAGATTCCCCGTTCCCACTGGATTTGCTGTCCCCCTGCAGGAGATGAAGCAGAAGCAGAGGGCCCAGGAGGAGCTGAGCTCCAGGCCCCTCTCTCCCCCTCCTCAGTTTCCCCTTTCCCACTGGATTTGCTGTCCCCCTGCAGGAGATGAAGCAGAAGCAGAGGGCCCAGGAGGAGCTGAGCTCCCGGCCGCCGCCGCTGCCGCTGCCCGACGTGGTTCCGGACGGGGACGCGCACCTGGGGCACCACGGGCAGGCCCCGCCGCTGGGGCCGCGCGCGGCGCTGGTGCCTGGGCCCGCCGGGGGCCTGCAGCAGCCGCCCAGGAACCACGGACTCTTGGGGGGGGCCCTGGCCAACCTGTTCGTCATCGTGGGCTTCGCCGCCTTCGCCTACACAGTCAAGTACGTGCTGAGGAGCATAGCCCAGGAGTGAGGCCTGCAGGGACCGGGCTCCCGGGGCCTTGGGGACTGTGGCGTTGGGCCCTGCCCCGGCCCCGGCGGGCTCGGGAACCTTTGGGTGTGTGGGGCTCTGCTCCAGCTGTGCTTTCAACACTGAAGATCTTCAGCCAGTTTTGATTCTGTTGAGTTTTCACTTCAGGATGAATGGGACTCTCGGAATGGGACTCTTGGGGTGGAAAATGTGGGGTTTTGCCCTTCTGGGTTGTGGTGGGGCTGGGTGAGACACATTGATTTGTAGAGCTCTCCTCCATCTGTGGTTTGAACATTGAAGATCTTCAACAAATTTGACTCTGTTGAGTTTTCAATTCAGGGTGAGTGGGACTCTCTGGAATGGGACTCTTGGGGTGGAAAATGTGGGGTTTTTGCCCTTCCTGGGTTGTGGTGGGGTTTGGGGTTCAGAAGCCAAAGCATTGTTGGGGAGCCACTTGGACTTGTTGAGCTCTCCTCCATCTCTGGTTTGAACATTGAGGATCTTCAGCCACTTTGGACTCCATTGAGTTTTTCATTCAGGATCAGTGGGGCTCATTGGAATGGGACTCCTTGGGTGGAAAATTTGGGGTTTTTTGGCCTTCCTTGGTTCTGTGGGGTTTTGGGTTCTGCTCATCGTGGGCTGCACAGTCAAGAGCTGAGGAGCAGGGCCAGGAGTGAGAGCCCTGCAGGGACCAAACTCCACTGGGGCCTGGGGGGACTTTGGGGTTTTTGCCCTTCCTGGGTTGTGGTGGGGTTTGGGTCTTGCTGCTGGTGAGAAATCAAATTTATTGGTTTTATTGTCCAGGAATTGTTTTAGTGTCCCAAAAAGGGGGGTTTGTGTCCCAAAAAGGGGGGTTTGTGTCCCAAAAAGGGGGGTTTGTGTCCCAAAAAGGGGGGTTTGTGTCCCAAAAATGGGGTTTGTGTCCCAAAATTGGGGTTTGTGTCCCAAAAATGGGGGTTTGTGTCCCAAAATTGGGGTTTGTGTCCCAAAAATGGGGGTTTGTGTCCCAAAATTGGGGTTTGTGTCCCAAAATTCAGCATTTGGGGCTCTGGGGATGGAGGGAGCAGCACCTGGGGAGGGAAGAATTCCCATTTTGGGGTGGGAATAACAAAGGAGCTCCTGGGTCAGAGGAAAACCCCAAATGTGGCTCCACTTGATTCGGGATTTGTTTTCATTCTTAAAACCCCAAAATTCCTTTGGGATTCATCTGCTGAGGTAAGACCTTAAATTTTATTAAATTCTTTAAAACCCCAGCCCCAATTTTTTGGTTTTTCCCCTAAAAATTTCTTGCACTTAAACCCAAAAATGCTAATTCTTTGGAATTGGGAATGGAATTTTTATTCCCACTTTTTGGGGTTGATTTGTGTTTTCCTGGGAATTCAGCTTTCCCCCCAAAAAAAAGAAAAAATTAAATTTCAACCTCTCCCTCAGGATAAAATCTTGGGATAAATCCTTGAAATTCCAGCTGCAGTTCCATGGATTTGAAAGTTTGGGAATTTTCCCACAGAATCTTTATTTTTAATAAAAATTCCTGGATTTTGGGGGGATTTTCCCCTTTTTCCTGGATTTTCCAAGCTCAGAGGAGTGGGAATGGCTGCGTTGTAAAGTGATTTATTCATAATAAAAATCCATAAAAAATCGACTTTGTGGGGCTTTTTTGGGGAATAAAATTCCATGGGGAAAAAAGGGGTTTGGATATTTCAGTTCATAAATAAAATAATGAAAAATATTCATTTTTCCTGATTGTTTTCCTTCTTTCAGTTGGATTTTCCAGCTTCCCTTGGATGTCTTGGTGTCTCTCCTTCATCATTCATAATTTCTGTAATTCCTTGAAATTTTGGGATATTTTTGGAGCATTCCTGCTGATAATTATTGATTTTAATTAATATTAAATTATAAATAATAAATTATAATAGTATAAACTAGATACATAATTTTATATAGTTTTATATAATTGCAATTATTATCTATATTATTTATTTATAAACTATTTATAAATTATGAATACTTAACGATTTAATTAATAATTACAGGTAATTTAATTATTTATTAATCAGGGATTAATTAATCCTGCCATTTTCATGGGGAAAAAAATTGGATTTTTAAAGCCAGAAAATCCCATTTCCAGCAGAAAAATAAAAAAAAGGGAATTAATTCCATAAAAACTCCAGGAATTCCCAAATTCCTGGAATTTCTTTTGGGAATGAGGACGGCTCATTAGGATTAATTGGAATTCTTAATTAGCGCCGGGAGCTTTGCCCTGCCGGGTTATTTCCCTTTTGGAGTAGCAGAAATTTGGGAATTTTTTCCATTTTTCCGGGAATTTGGGGTTTTGGGGATCGGCCACGAGGTGGCGCCGCCGTGTCGGGAATCGGGGCTGGAGCGGATTCGGGGAATCCTGGAAAATCCTAAAATCCCAAATCCCGGAAATCCTAAAATCCCTCCCTGGGGGCGCCTCTGGGAATGTGGGAATTCCCAAAATTGAGAAGAGGATTTCGAAATTGAGAAGAAGATTTTTGGGATGATCCTGAAATTGGGAAGGGATTTCTGGGATGATCCAAAAATCAGGAAAAGTATTTTTGTGATAATCCCAAAAATTTGGGGATATTCTGGGGGGATTTTTGGGATTTTTCCCAAAAAATCAAGAAAAGGATTTTTGGGATGATCCCAAAATTGGGAAAAGGATTTTTGGGATTTCCCGGCCTGGGGCTCTGGGAATTCGCTCGGCCCCGGGCAGGTCCCGCCCAGAGCGGGGCAGGCGCCGGGGAGGTTCAAAATTATCAACAAATCCCAAAAATGAGCAACAAATCCCGCCTGGAATGTGCTGGGCTGAGCTGCTTTAACTCCTGCCGTGCTGGGGACGTTCCAGCGGGACTTTGCCCTCCCCAAATCCCAGGGGTTTCTGGTTTTCCCATTCTCAAACTCCAGGTTTTTTCCATTTTTCCTATTCCCAAATTCCCATTTTTCCCCTATTTTCCTGTTCTCAAATTCCAGGGGTTTTTTTCCTTTTTTTCCCTTCCCAAATTCCAGATTTTTCCATTTTTCCCCTTCCCAAATTCCAGGGTTCCATTTCTTCCCATTCCCAAAATCCATTTTATTCATTTTTTTTCTCTTCCCAAATTCCATTTTTTTTCCATTTTTTCATGTCCTCAAATTCCACATTTTTCTGGAGGTGTTGCCAAGAAAACAGGAAAAAAAATTTTGATTTTTCTGGATTTTGGGTTGGGAGTGTCCCGTGCCTCAGTTTCCCCAAGATCCAGAGTTTTCCTCCCAATCCATCAATTTTTTTCTCCTTGTCCACAAAACTGGGAAATGAAACAAAAAGTTGATTTTCCTCGGATACATCCCAAAAAAACACTGATTTTTCTGGGATAAATTCCCCAAAAAAAGCTGATTTTCCTGGGATAAAATCCCCCAAGAAACTGATTTCCCCGGGATAAATCCCAAAAGAAAAGCTGATTTCGCTGGGATAAATTCCATAAAAAACCTGATTTTTATGGCATAAAATCCAAACAAAAAAGCTGAATTTCCTGGGATAAATTAAAAAAAAAAGAAGCTGATTTTTGATTTTTCTGGGATAAAATCCCCAAAGGGATCGGATTTTGCAGGGATGCGCAGGGAGGAAGCGGGCGCCGGTCCCAACCTGGGGCAGTTCCATTATCGGGGAATTTCATGGGATCGTGGAGCGGCGCCTGCGGCTCCTCCTTTTTCCCTTTTTTTTTTTTCCCTGTTTTTTTTCCTCCTCCTTTTCTGGGAGTTGATGGAAACTGGAAACTCCTCCGGGAAGCCGCGAGGAGCCGGAGCCGCGGCAGGAGCTGGGATTTGGGGTTTGGGATCTGGGATTGGGATTTGGGGTTTGGGGTTTGGGGAACCCGCGCGCTCCTGCCCCGTGACAGCGCCGGGGGTTGCGGGGATTTTTTAGGGGAAAACTGAAAAAAGGAAAAACTTTGGGAAGCTCCACCTGCTCCTGCCGGGCTCGGGAGGTTTCGCTTCCCCCCGCGGAGCTCCTGGAGCGTGAGGAATTCGGGGTTTGGGTTTTGGCGTTTTCTTGGGGGGGTGTGAGGCGTTTGGGGTTTGGGGTTGTTTTTTGGGATATGTTTTTTGAGGTTTATTTTTTGGGATGTAAGGAATTTGAGGTTTAGGATTTGTTTTTTGGAGTGTGAGGAATTTGGTTTTGGGCATGTGAAGGATCTGGGTTTGGGATTTGTTTTTTAGGGTGTGAGGGATTTTTGTAGGGGGATGTGAGGGGTTTCTCTTTTGGGATTTGAGGGATTTGGTTTTTGGGGTGTGACTGATTTGTTGTATGGGATCTGTTTTTTGGGGTGTGAGAGGTTTGTTTTTTGGGGTTTGTTTTTTGGGGTGTGAGGGGTTTGTTTATTGGGGTGTGACAGTTGTTTTTTGGGATTTGTTTCTTGGGGTGTGAAGAATTGTTTTGGGATGTGAAGGATCTGGTTTTTGGGCTGTGAGGGATTTTTGGGGGTCTGAGGGATCTGCATTTTGGGATCTGGTTTTTGGGATCTGGTTTTTGGGATCTGGTTTTTGGGATCTGGTTTTTGGGATCCGTATTTTGGGATCCGTATTTTGGGATCTGTATTTTGGGATCCGTATTTTGGGATCCGTATTTAGGGATCTGTATTTTGGGATCCGTGTTTTGGGATCCGTATTTTGGGATCCGTATTTTGGGATCCGTATTTAGGGATCTGTATTTAGGGATCCGTATTTTGGGATCTGTTTTGGGGTGCGGGGCTGGGTTTTGTCCCTCCAAGGCCGGGATGCCGGCGCTTCCCTGGGTTCCGATTCCCCGCAGCGCCGAGCGCAGTTCCAGGATTTGTGCCGGGAATGGCCGGGGTGGTCCCGGGCTCTGAGCCCAGCCTGGCTAAACCCCGCCTGAGCCGGGCCCAGCCCTGCCCTGCGGCTTCCAGCACCTTTAAAACCAGCTTTAAACCCAACCTGGGAGGGTTTAGAGCCTTTAAAACCAGTTTCAAGCCCTATTTGGGGGGGCAGAGTAAAACCAGCTTTAAATCCGATTTGGGGTCAGAAGGGGCTGAGTAAAACCAGTTTCAAGCCCCATTCGGGGGTGCTGAGTGCCTTTAAAACCGGTTTTAGGCGGGATTTAGGGCAGAGCAGCCCCTCGCCTCTGGGATTTCTGGGAAGCTCCCACGGACTCAGCTTCATCTCCTGAGGATCCAGAATTCCAAACAAATTCCAAACAAATTAATCTCCAGCTTTTCCATCCCGAGGAGCTGCTTGGAACCTTCTGGAATTTGGATGTTTTTGGACACAGATCTGGGTCTTTTTGGTCCTGAAGGATT